CCGTTGGACATACGGAAAAATTGCATCAGACCTTTCTTGTAGAGGACGACGAGATCTACAGTTTCTGTATAAAAAGTTTTCGCTAGTGTCAATAGTTTACGAGTAATTTGCAAAAAACTGTTTTTTCGTTTTTCGTCAATAACTCGTAAACTATTAATGCTAGCGACAAACTTTTATACAGAAATTGTAGATCTCGTCGTCCTCTACAAGAAAGCTTCTATGCAATTTTCACGTAGATTCAACGGTTTAGGAGTTATTGAGGAGAAACGAAATTTTTTTCCAAAAGTTCGTTGTTTCGACGCTGGGATGGTCGGATTTTGTCAGCATCAATAAAATGCCAAATAATCATACGTAACTCGTTAAATATCGAAGTTAGGAGGAAAACAACTTTTATTTGAATCATTTTTCGCAACTTTGAAAAAAAATTTTTCATCAGCATCAATACTTAACTGGATATTTCCTTTTATACTTTTTAGCACGTAGCTATTTATTATTAGCATTGTTCTTCCGACGTCTGATTTCTTTTTAATTATAGGAAATTCGTTTTTCTAAGGTACATAAAATTTTGGGATTGACTGTATAGTCAATACATCCTTAATCCGCATAGCATAATTCGTGTAGTTTGTTTCCTTTCAAATAATTTTCTTTTACTTGTATAGAGACTTAGTTGCCGTACGAGAACCTCGTAATACTGATAATCGAAGAGACTACTGATAATTCATGCAATATTGTAATTACCTTCGTTTCTTTCTAATTAAGATAGGTGTATCAGCATACGTAACTGCTTACCATTTTTGTACTTGCTCCTGATCATCTAATTGTTCTATATTGAACAATTCGATCCGAAATGAATTAAAAGGAATCCAGTATTCTGTTATATTGTTTTTGGTACAGTTTTTTATTTCTGAGGAATTGAAAATAGGTCGTAGAGGAGATGTTGAACAGAAAATATTCTTTCCTTTTAGAATAAAATCGACCGTTTTATATTAAACATAATCGTAAAGGAAAGCTTGAATTGCCTTTTGAATATTGTGTATTTTTGGTAAATAAAATTATGTAAATACACGATCAAATTTTATTTAAGAAGCGCACATAGTGATGAATGAAAGTAAATGCAATAGACTTGCTTCAGTTTACATTCAGAACGTGCAATATAATTTCCTTTAGATATTATAAGGTGTCCAGAAAGGTCAGGACCAAACTTATTACTCAACGTTACGTGTTGATGAGGTCAAGTAGATAAAAGAAGTTCATACAAGCTTAGGTTTATTCCAATTTTGTGATACAAACATTTTTATTAAAATAAATATCCCAGTTTCTGTCGCAATTTTTTAGAAATATGCACCGCAGAGGGAAGTCAGTGCTTTCAAGCGGCAGCGTAAAATTAGAAGCATATTTGTTGCACTTAACTTTTCCTATATTACAAACAATCGGAAGTGTTAGAAATAGCGATGAAAACCGCTACGGATGCGCGCGAAGTCCGAGGGAGCACACGAGCAATACATCTCGATTAATATCGTACGGTACAAAGATTGTTGGAAATAAAAAGTCGGAGAAGCGTAACAACTGGTTACGCACTGCGTTACGTAACCGATCGCGGATGGACTTGGTCGTAAAAGCCGAGCAGAGAGCCGAGAAACGGTGCATATGGTAGAAAGATCAAATGGGGGTGTCGGAAGAGAGAAAAACGATGAGATCATCTCTGCTTGCTGTCACGGAGGAGGCCTGTTGGAGAGGCCTGGCTTCGCTCGGCTTGGCCGTTCCTCCGTGCGTTGCACATTACACAGTCAGTAACAGTCCAGCGTCCGATTTGGAGGGCTCTTTTGAACGTTCTCCAAAAACGGTCGGAGAAAGGATAAACCAGCAGCACCGGTGACCAGCGAAAGGAATAAAACGCTGAGGTAAATATATACATGTATGCATGCCCGCATCGAGAATCGAATCATGACTACTTTTTCAATCTTTAATTTTACCTGAGTTAACAGAACGACACAAACAGATCGTTTATTACTAGTCTGCGGATTTTATGCATTTGTAGCAAAACTGAGTATGTAACAAAATGGATATAGTGGGCAGAGCTGCATAAATATAAATAGCAGAACGTAGAGCATGTTCAGAGAATATTCTTATTTAATATATAATAACAATAATAATAATAATAATAATAATAATAATAATAATTCATGGAAAGAACAATTAAATACCAATGTAAATAATTTAAATAATTAAAACAGAGAATAGAAATGAGAGAAACGATTACACTTCACCCTGACATATTCATCCGAGCCTCTGAGGAATTAATGTCCATAATTAATAGCCGAGAAACACAATTCATTTTATGCCTCTTCTGTTAAATGCTTTGTCATTGTTATACTACGTTTAATTGAGGTTGAGTCATGGTAAAGGTAGATTCAGATCGACCAATCTTCTCGTGTGGTGGATATGTGAAAAACTTAGAGAGAAAGAGAGAGAGAGAGAGAAGGATTGCAGATAAATTAATAAATATTAATTCAATTGGAGAACATCAATTAATGTTTGGTCCGTTTATTAGAATTTTGTTAATTAATAGACTGCAGCTTTTATGCATTTATCAAAGTAT